GTTGTAAATAAATTTAAGGGGGGTTTGTGGCCCGAATTTTGAACTTTCTAGCATTCATGTGTCTTCGTCGAGTTTGTGGATTTTCAGTTATTATCCATCCCAAACGCATACATGTGGCCTTTACTCGGAGCCGAAGAACGGGATTCTCTTATGTTTTCAAATTTTATAGTGCCCGGTTGGTTTATGGATCGCTATGTTTTCGTTGTTCAATCGGTCAGATGACTTTATTTTACGCTCGAGGGCTTTCGGATTATTTTCTTTTTTTTCCACCAGACGAACACCATTGGACATACGGTGGTACACCACCGTGTAGAGTATGCACACTCTTTTCCTTATTTTCTTTTTTCTCTTAGTTCTTTGACTTGTGTGTTCGTGCTTGCTTTCCTTTCTTATTTTCGTTTGTTATTTTTTGTTTTTGTTCATCGCATGAGCTTGTGTGATTATGTGTCCCTTTCGTATGCTTTTTGGTCAAACAATGAGGATATTGCTTTGTTTTAAATGTGGGGGAGGGATTCTCGTGATTATGCATGCTTAGGCGGTGTTTCTTTCGTTTTAGGTGCTTTATTTTTAGTGTTGTTGTGTCTTGGACCGGTTTTGTTTGAGTTTTTGTGTGTTTGTGTCGATTTCCCAACATAAAGCTTGATGTTTGTTCAAGAGTCGAAATGGCTAAGTAGTGAGTTGAGATTGTCATTTGGTTTCATTGTTAATTTTCGTGTTTTATGTACTTCATGAGTTGGACGGTTTCTTTAAAGTTAAATGACGATTTGTTGATATTGGAACCCGCATTTGAGTCCACGAAATTGTTTCGTCCCTTGTTTGTTCTCGATTTATTTTCTTGAGGCATGCTTCCCTTGTGTTTGATTATCGTGGTAAACGTGTTATGCTATACACTTGTGGTACGTCTTGATTGATTGTTGATGTTCATGTATTGTATCGTAATGTATCCTTGTTTGCCTCTCCCTTCGAAAAAATAAGAAATAATAAAATGGAGTTTGCGAGGAGTACGGGTTAGGCTTCTCTTATTTCTATTTACTTCGTGAAATGAGATAATAAGCCAGTAAACCGGTCTAGGAAACTCGAGGAAACCCCTCGAGGCTAAACCTAGATAATCATCTATGGAAATCTCGTTTGGAAAAAGAAGCTCACGAAAAAAAATGAATAAAAATGAGCTCGTGAGAGTTGAAATGATTAAACTCTGTTTGACCCGGTTAGTCTCTTTTGAGATAAATCGGGCCAAAGAATACGGGAAACCGGCCTAGGAGACTCGAGGACAAACCCTGAGGATAAACCTAGGTAATAATCGTCCTAACAACTCTCATTTGGAAAAAGTGACTCATATATAAGAAAATAGAAAAAGAAAAAAAACGGGGAGTTGGCTATGTGGTTTCGTGCTTATTTGACTCTTATACGTTGAGTAGACCGTTCATAGCTTTTTGCACGTGTATTTGGAATAAGGGAGTTTGAATCGAGTAAATCATGTGTAGAATGGCTCGAGAGAGGTTTTTATTTTGTAACTGGAGGAAGACGAGAGTTTCATTTCGCATAATTATTAATTTTGGACCGTTCGATCCTTCTTCTCGAAATACTTGTTGTTTTGTTTGTTTGAGGACAAGCAAAGAGTTAAATGTGATAGAGTTGTTTATTGTGTTTTTGTGCTTATTTTCGCGTGTTTTATGTGCTTTAATTTAGTCATTTTAGGTTCGTATTAGTGTCGGCCGGTCCATTTTATCGTATTTTGGGCATTTTTATTCTCTTCATGTGTTTTTGTATTTTTGCCGTATTTTCTTGCGTATTTTGGTTTTGTTTAGGTCCTCATTGTTTGAGTTCGGGAAGATAAGACAATTGGGATACATTTCCCAGCCGACCGCACCATATCCAAGCCATGATCCAAACCAATTGAGCCGTCTGAGCCATTTTATCGATCTATCCGACCACCCAAGAGAGCCATTAGAGGACGCGAGCACACGCAACAAAATCCCTTTCGCGCCCAGCAAACAAAGGTGAGCTTGGAAGAACCTTAGCACTCTCTGCGAACTTGCTCTCGCGACCCGCGAACAGCGCGCCATGCACCAAGCTCCTTAGCACTCTCTGCGAACTTGCTTTCGCGACCCGCAAACAGCTCGCCATGCACCAAGCTCCTTGGCACTCTCAGCGAAACTTCTTTCGCGACCGGCGAAACGTGCACCCAGCAGCTCCAAGTGCCACACTCACTGCGAACTTCCTTTCGCACTGGCGAAACGCGCGCTCCAGAATCCCATTTTCCTACACTCTGCAGCGAACTTGTGTTCGCGACCCGCGAAAACGCCTGTGCAGACCATTTTTCACTCCAACTCGCTGCGAACAAGGTTTCGAGACCCGTGAACTGCAGAATTTCACTAAATGTGTGTGTGTGTTTGTGGTGTAGCTATAAATAGACTTGTTGCTTTGTGTTTTGGAAGAATTCCTCATTTGCTAAAATTTTGTTTTTTGTTTTTTCCTCCCTTCCCTCTCTGGTTTTCTTTATCTCTCTAAGTGCTCCAAAACTTAATTTTATTGTAATATATCTCCATCAAGATTACAACTTTCCGGCTTGTTTCTTCTCGTGAATGCACTAGAGACCTGGAGACTTCGTTTAAGGTCCATGATCTCGTGAGTCTTGTTTGTCTTTACTTATTGGATTTATTCTAGGGTTAAGATAAGAGCGTCCACGAGTTGATTATGCTATCATCCTCGTAGGCTAGGGATTATGTGATTGTGTTATCGATTGCGTGAGCTTAATTGCACAAGCGAGAATTGATTGAGAGTTCGATCAATTGATCACGAGTGACGATCGCTTGATTGCATGTTTTCGAACCTATGAGTGCCTTCTTTGCATCATGGGTCTAGGGGTATCTTGTTATTTTCCCTCTATTTTCCTTTTTTTATTGCATTTGAGGACTTGCATGCTTTAGTTTAATTTAAAATTGCGTTCTTTAGCTTAATTCAACCCCAAATTGTTTAGGATTTTTATTTTTATTTTTTCTTGTGTGAGTCAATCGTTGCTTGAATTTGTCTCTGGATTGCCTTCCTTTGAGAACGACCCGAGTCGGGTAGCTCGATCACCACATGCCCACAAATAGTATAAACAATGGGTTGGGTCAAAACTCGAGTCCAAACCCAACTCGGTTTAGTGCAACAAAAAGATTATAGGGGGGCTCAACTCAACACCGATCCAGACCATTCAAATCTAGTCCACATTCCAATTGTGAAGGCCAAGGCTAAGGCCCAGGTCCATGCGCTGTCCGAGTCTGCCTGCGAACAAACGTCCTTCATTTTATTGTATATCCTTTTCTAGGGATAAAAAAACAAAAAACAAAAAACAAAAAAAAAAGAAAAAAAAAAGAAATTGGCAGGGATCTTCTTGCGTATGCATTGTTTGGTCCCCAACTGTTCTAACATAATAGGTCCACACATTTCACTACAAGAAAACACTTCAATTCCAACAAAAAATTCCAGCGGAAAAAATTTCCGTTGGAAATTTCAATGAATATTTCAACAAACTTAATTTTATGTTGGAATAAGTGTTGGATGGTTGAGAAATTTCAACGGAATTTTTTTCGTTGGAATAGCTATAGGAATTTATTTCCATAGGATTTTCCGTTGGATTTTAGCTATTCTAACAGCCATTTTTCCCACGAATTTTTATACGTAGGAATATCCGTTGGAATATCTATTCCAACGGATATATAAAGAATTCCAACCGAAAATTTCCGTTGGAATGTAAGAGGTTTTTTTGTAGTGTTTGGACTCTCTTGGCCACTACTGATGTCATCACTCTCTTGACCACTGGCCATCAGAGCACATGCCAAATTTAGCATCCGCTCATGCATACACTTCGGTTGATTCGCTTTTAGATTTCGCACATTTTTCGGGAGGGAAACCATCCTGCTGGCTTCCTCGCAGGCATCGGGTCCTCCACCCATATAGGCGCATACTTTACCCTAACGATATTCCTCTCCGCCTTCATAGCATTATACGAATGGACCAGATGGGATACCCTTCATTCAGATTTGTGTAGTCGGTCCTACCTTTAGTGCATCTGATCTCCCGTGACGCTGACTTTTTGCTTGGACTCTTTCCAATCAGGAGACGATAGTTTTGTGTTAGTCGCAGCAGTTGAAACTTTTTTATTGGTTTCTCTTTCATTTCTGGTTTTGCATTTCATTTGACTTGATGTATTTCAAACATTAAACTTGTAGATTTGTGACTTTTTTAGGTTATTAAGGACCTTTTTATATATACAGGTTAGGGGTCCGAGCCTAACCCCACTCTCCTGAGCTGTCTTCTTTAATAATAATAATAATAATAATAATAATAATAATAATAATAATAATAATAATAATAATAATAAAAACTGTTCTCACATAATATATAACATAATATATAGTATTATGGATTATAGGAAAAAGCACATGTTAATAATTAATTCTTTTTTTAAGTTAGCATAGAATTTTTTATTGTGAGATTCACAAAACCCAAACATTATAGATCTTACCATAATTATACTCCCTAATTGAGGTCATATCCTATTATTTTATGTAAATGGGCCAACATATTATAGGGTGATTTTTCCAATTACCGTGATGCTTCCTCTCTCATGTCTTAATCAAAATAAATAAATACACATGTCTTAATCACACTGCTAACAAATATTGGAAAGGATCTTACTCATGCATGCACAGTGAACATCTTTCTCAAATTAAAAGTAAAATGCAAAACGTCTCTTTCTACGCTAGCAGTATGAAGTGTAGAAACACAGACTCATGACTAATTATAATAATAAAAAATGAAAAGAAAAGCATAAATACATGCACACATAATCAAAATTAATCACAACGCGTAATTAGTTCTCTCTCCTTTCGCTTTCTTCCACAAAACCCTAGCTTTCTCCATTAACCAACTCATGTATGTATATGTATTTCATAATTAGTATTAGCGCAATATTGATTAGACTTTTTCAGTTTGTGTCTCTGTTGAAGGAGATGATGGAGGATTCGGATTTGTGGTCGGACCCGACGTTCTCAGGACTCGGGGACATAACCGGGCCGATCAACGAAGACATTTTTTGTGATTTGGAGCCGGTCCTTGTCGAGGTATTGGGCGTGGAGGCTCCTCCGAGTCCTAGCTGGGAGGATATATACATGATGAGCCATGATCAGCCGCTGCCCGATAACTGGGCCCCACCTAATAACTTTTCGAACAATTCTGACAACATGAGTACAATGATGCCGCCGGGCGAGTGGGCCCCAGCCCCTGCTGCCTCCACCGAGTAAGTACATATATAATGCACGAACATTATATATGATCGATGTTTGGAGAATAAGATGTGAAAAGTAATTAATGTTGAATGAATAATGCGTCTGTTTGTTGAAGGAGCGGAAGTAGGAGGAGGAGGCATCAAAAGCAACCTACACAGGAAACAGTTTCTTTCGCGACTTTGAGTGAAACTGATAACCTCGATGATGGTTACCGCTGGCGAAAATACGGCCAAAAACCCGTCAAGGGAAGCTTCACCCCGAGGTATTTCATTTTCTTGTCCTATTTTTCTCGATTGCAGGTATCTAGTTTTCAGAATCGACGTTTCTTTAGTTTCGTAAGCTGGGTTATTAATTTTCGAATCGTTTAAAGATTTTCTTCTCGGGTTTTTATTTTGTAAGATTCATTTTCAGAGTTTAGTTTTACCTAGCTAATATAAGATCAGCTTAAACTAATTTTCTTGAAGGAGCTACTACAAATGTGCCATCAAGAACTGCCCGGTGAAAAAATATATAGAACGAGGTTTAGACGACCGCAAGGTCGTCATCACAACCTATAGGGGACGGCACACTCATCACGCTCCCGGACATCATTCTTTGGATGAAATAATAAACGAGGACTGCTTTCCCGTATTTACACGTGGACCACCTAACAACATACTACACCATGTCCGAGAATGTGAGCCAGCTGCTCGAGAGCCGAGTTCACAAACTGCTGATGAAAACGCTGGCCAAGGACTGCTCGAGGATGTCGTGCTTTTCCAGGCGCGAAAAGGGCACGATTAATTTTTTCTAATCTTCTTACTATTTTACATGATATAAATAGGTTGATAAGGTAAAGTATGGTCACATTATAATTGGTTGATTAATCAATCAATCATGTTCTTGTTGTTCATCAGTTAATTTCTAATTATGTTGCCTGATCAATGCACATATTGGAAGTTATTTAACTTACTTAATTAAGCTTGTAATCAATGCATGATTAGTTGTTAATTGTTTTTTTATTTTAGAGATTTCTATTAATTTTATTTTTCTAATAAGCACCTAGTTACATTTTATTTTGTAAATGTGTTTTTTTTTTTAGTCCAACATTCATCAATACTTCATCATACTAAAGATTTTATTTTTTTTTTAATCAACTTTAGAAGTAACTCTAAATTTTAATTAAGACTAAATTAGTGCAACTAACATTGAAAATATAAAATACAAACCAAATATAGTACAGTTTTTATTAAAATAATATTAACTTTCCATACCATGTTAGTTATAAGATAAAATAACACAAAGTATCAACAAATTTAATTAAATTTTAAATACTTGCAAAAAAGATATTTTTATTTTAAAACCTTGTTTATTAAATAGGAAAAATTCAATTGCAGATCAAGTATTACTAAGCATAAAATTTAATTGAAGCTTCATTGTTATTACTATATTTTATTTGCATTATAAAAATTCACAAATTATGTATGATCAAAGTTGACATAAAATATATCAATAACACACATCTATTTTTATAATTCAGTTCTTAATTTCGGTTGTTCGGTTCGATACGTTATGGGACGGTTCGGTACGGTTCTAAGTGCGAATATTTGTGAAACCTCTGAAACCGTATCAATTATTTTTCAGCTCGTTTCGGTTCGCAAAAAATCAAACGGTCAACGATTATTTTCCGTTAGGAGTAATTACGGTTCAATTTTCAGAACAGGTTTGAAATTTTTTGGGTCCATGCTCAGCCCTAGGGTGAATGGATGGTGAGATTTTGTTAGAAAAAAAAAAAAAAAAGTTTGTAATGTTGAGTTTTAATATTTAATCATATTGATTATAATGAGAAAACAAATTGAATTAGTGATGCAACAAACCTGTGATGGGAAATTGTATTGCGATAAGTTCTATTCTCTATATTGAAGAAACTGAATTTTCTTTAATCTGATGAAAAAATTGTCTTACACGATAAAGCGTAATAATATAAGTTCCACACAAGTCATAAGCCCAAACATAAAAAAGCCAACATGAAAGAAAAAGCCCAACGTAAAATGAAAAAGCCCAACATATGTAAAATACAATCAAACTAGAAGGCGGAGTCGATCATATTTGTCGAGATATGCTAATGCAATCTCGTCGGCATCATTCTCTCACGGGTGGTGAGGATTCGCCCTCGAATCCGCAATCTCGTCGGCGTCCTAAGCTACCCAGTCAACAAAATCACCTACGTCAAAGACTATTGAGCGACCGCCCACGGAGCCGGATAAATCCCTACACTGCTCGACGTGAGAAATGTATAAAACAGGAGATGACGACGGGAAAGGACCAGAACTAGATGATGTCAGATGCAAGACTATGCGGACGCCCTCAAATCAAAAACTATATGTGTTGAGGCGTTCATCATGTACCACCCGAGCAATCAAATTGCCAAGGTCGTTCCTGATAAAACGTGTCAAAATCCATAGGCACGACGTCACACCATGTCATGTCCTTATAAGAGGATCCGGTAGAAAAGGTCACCAACACGCGTCGGGTGACATGAACAGAATCATCATGTTGTATCCACGCAAGAGCATATGGATCCGGATGCGGCTCACTTAACAACCCAATTTCGTCACGGCCTCGTTCGATAACACATTCTTACAGGAGCCGGAATCAATGACAATACGACACACCCGGTCGCCAATGGCGCATGTGGATTCGAAAAGGTGGTGGTACTGGACCTTATCCTCAGAAAATATGTGGGGAGTCAAAAGAGACCGACGAAGAACAAGTGCGTGACCCATGTCTCCCGATACATGCACCTCTGGAACTTCCAGTTCCTTATCGAAAATTGGAGAACCATCATATATAAACACTCGAGTCTGGCTCCTCAACAATCAACGCCCTTGACCCTCTCGCCTTGGGGCACTGTGCATGACGAAGACCCGACTCGCCATATGTGAAGCAACGTGTCCCACCAGACTGTTGAGTGCCACTCCCGGTCGTGGGGATAATCATTCGAACCTTAGAAGGTGCACCCAAATCGAATCGAACACTTGCCGCAGACGATGCGGAACCCGAAGTCCTTGGAGGCTCCTTTGCAGACGGTCCAAAAGAAGCGCCTGCTTTTCGGGCCTGTTGCTGCTCAACCAATAAAGCCCGCTGATTAGCCTCAGAAACAAATGTTGAAGTAAACATATTCAACACATCCTGAATAGAGACACACAATCCCCCAATATAAAGAGAAATCAATTGTTCCTAAGTTTCACGAATATCTACCCAGGCCAGGAGTTTATAAAATTCCTCAATATATTCATCCACACTACGCTGCCCTTGATGAAGATTTTGCAAATGCTGGTATAAAGTACGAACAAAATTAGATGGTAAAAATTCCAAGGCCATGAGTTTATAAAATTCCTCAATATATTCATCCACACTACGTTGCCCTTGACGAAGGTTTTGCAAACGCTGATATAAAGTACGAACAAAATTAGATGGTAAAAATTCACGTTCAAGATATATACTTACGAAATTTCACTAACGAAGTGATTTTCGATTTTCCCTTATAATGTCTCACACCCTGTAGCTGTAACCACCAAGGCCGCACATTCACGAAGTCAGTGACCACAAGTGCGACTCGTCTGGTCTGGTACACTTTTAAAATCGAGGGCAGCCTCGAGGCAGTCAACCAATCAAAAAATTCACTGGCGTCTAACCCATCGGAGAAATCCAGAATGTCAACTCGAAAAGAATTTTTCCAGTGATTAACTTCGCCAACCACAACCCCAAACCTGAAAAAATGTGCCGCATGCCCAAGCCCACCAAACTCAACATATAGGCTTTGGAAATGATGAGCAGTAGGTTTATTAAATCTGTCGTCATCAAAATCACGCACAAAGCCAAAAGGAAATTGATTTCTTCGGCCGTCTCCAAAAACACCTCCCTAACGCAAATCGGCGGCAGCCGTTTCGCCATTGAAATTGGCAGGTCCCCGACGTCCCTGCGGCGGCCCTCTGCGGAAAGCGTCACCTCCTACAGTCGCTCACCGAAATTCATGCTCACCGTGGGGCCAAAAATTAGGACCTAGGGTTTCCTCGCCATGGCGGTCTGCACGATTGAAGCGGGGGAACTCCTATCTGCGAGCGGCCTCCGGTGCACGACTGTGAGGTAAATCAGGCATATGAAAACCGTCATATTCATTCTGCTGGTTGTGGTCGGCAAAACCATGCTGGCCGTCAAACCCGTCGGCGAATGGGTTAATGTAGGACCAAGTGTCGTTGTTGTCCTCATCGCCGAACTGATTAGGTTAATGTAGGACCAAGTGTCGTTGTTGTCCTCATCGCCGAACTGATTATGTGGGACCGGTTGACGGGGCACCCCGCCAAACCCCCGACCCCCACGACCTCCTGGTAGACCCCCGCGACCACCACGACCACCGGCAACATCACAGTTGGCTCGCTGATATCTCAACATGGTAGCAAGTGTGGTTCGTATATCGTCGACCCCCGTAGCGAGTTCTGTAACCCGAATGTCCATCAATTGTACCCGATCGTCCATATGTTGAAGACGATCATTAATTTTGGCATCTCGTCGTCTCGGCAGCATCGGGAAATCATCCTGGTTAACTGATATCAAATGATGCAGCAAACTTGAGATGAGGTTTGTAATGTCTTACTGTAACTTTATCATACTCAATCCAAAGCTTGTGTGCTTCATCTTAAATTTCAACTTCAAACGCTCAAGAAGGCGATCTGTCTGTGGATGCCTTTATTCTTAAGATATGAAGCTTTGCCGATGAGTTACTTTATATTGGTCATCTTATCTCTGATGATGTGCTGACGATGTATGTGCTTGGAGGTTTGGGATCGGATTATGAGGTTGTTGTTGTCAATCTCACATCTCATTTGGACTCCATCTCCTTAGCAGAGGTTCAATTTGTGCTTCAGACACATAAGATGCGCTTGGCTAGCCAGCTTGCTTCTTCTCCGGCTGCTTTTCCGGTCACCACGGCTTCTACCACTGCGGATCAAGCTCATTCTGCAAATTTTGCTCAATCTCGTGGTGGTTTCTCTGCTTTTCGTGGCTTTAACAGAGGACGTGGTGGTCGTTCTCGTGGTCGTGGCTGCTTCTTCAAAAATTCAGATAAGGTTGTTTGTCAACTCTGTGGCAAGGCCAATCATGTTGCCTTGAAATGCTATCGTCAATTTGATATCAGCTTCACTGGGCAAGATAGTTTTGTTCCCTCTCCTCAAGCTCATATTGATGAGGTTGGTGCTTCTCCGGCCAATACTTCATCCTCATCCTCAGTCCATGGTTCTGATCCACACTGGTATTTTGACCGTGGAGCTACTAATCACCTCACTGCAAACTTTGAGAACTTGTCTCCTCAAGCTGCTCCTTATCAAGGTACTGGCATGGTCTTGGTTGGCAATGGATCTAGACTTCCTATATCTCATAGTGGTTCTTCTTTCTTTTCTACCTCTCAGCATACTTCTATTCTCCTCAATAACATACTCTTAGTTCCCAACATCACTAAAATCTCAGTATATCTCAGCTCACTAAGGACAATAACATTTTCATTGAGTTTCATTCTGATTTTTGTCTTGTGAAGGACAATATCAACAATCAAGTGTTGTTGGAAGAATTGCTTAAGGATGGTTTGTACCAGCTAGACTTTTCCAAGCATGCCTACTTTCTACATCAACTTGCTCCTGCTCATTCACCATATGTGGCTTGTACTTTCACTTCTTCAGTTTCTTCTAAATCTCATGCACTGAGTGTAACACCCCGCTTTTCCATAAACATCAGAGTGCGCAAATCGC